GTGTATAATGGGAAGGGAAGGGAAGGGAAGGGGAGGGAAGGGAAGGGAAGGGAAGGGAGGGGAGGGGAGGGGAGGGGAGGGGAGTTTAGCAAAATCTAGAATATGGAAAATTTTACAGGGCAAATGACTCACATTCTTCAACAGATAAACAGCAAGAAAATTTTTACAAAACCAGAGAGGGATGGAGAATCTATAGATTGAAAGAGTTAAGAAATCTTATTGATTCAACATAACATGTGGGCCTTATTTAGACCCTAAATAAATCAAACCACGTATTTAAAAAATGAATCAGGGAACTCTTGAATATGGAAGAGATATTTAAAAATATTACATGAAGATATTAAGGAATTATGTTAATGTTTTACACATGATATGCTATTATGGTTATATATATTTTAAAACAGTCCGTATCTTTTAGATGCTCTACCTGCTGACATCGTTGCAGATGAAATGACTCAATGCCTGGCATTTGTTTCAGAACAGTCCAGAGAAGGGAGAGTAACTGAAACTAGATTAGCCATGTGTTAATAATTGTTGAAGTTGAGGGGTGGGGGAAGGCGCCGTAGGCTTCTCTCAATTTTAACACAGTTTGAAATGTTTCCATAGTACAAAGGTAAGGCAGAGAATATGCATAGGAAGAAAGAAACTGGAGACAATATGGATAATTTTATTAAGTTTTGAGGAGCAATGTGGCAATTACCAGAGGAACAAATGGGGTCAAGAGAGGGTGCTTTTCTGTTTGCAGGGAACAACTGTGTGTTTGCTCACTGCAGCGTCTGAACCCTCAAGAGGGGAAGCCGTCATGCTGGAGGGAGCGTGGCGCTTCAGTCTGGGGCTAACACACCTGCTTCCATGTCTTGGGTCTTAACCTAATGCTGTTGCTCAAGGAAGAGCAGCCCCCATAATCAAACAGGCAGCTAATCCTTGGAACCGCAGTATCTGACCTGAGGGAGGATAACTGTCAGCAGGGATTCTGCCATCATTATCAGGTGGTTGGACTGGGCCTCACCTCCCTTTCAATCTTGAGATTGCCCCATTCATTGCAGAGGCCCAACCGCAGAGGCTGACTCCAGGGGAACAGCGGGTGTCCTTTCCCCACCCCTCCATGCCCACACACTCAGTCACTGCTGATTGGACATAGATTGGACACCTGACATGAAGAAGCCAATCAGCTGGCTTAGGAGCACCCTATGGCATATGTAGGCTGGGATGCACGGAGCTGAGGCCATTGGGTTTCCTCTCCTGAAAACTGGACCTAAAATATAGAAACTAAAAGTCGATAACAGGCACTATACCAAAAGAGTGTAACCTTAGGGTTGGCAGTGATGTGCAAGATAAAGTCACAAGGGAGAAAAGAAAAGTGAGCCAGTCCAAGGAGAGGGAATCTACAGAGCAAATGAAGCTGCAGGCGGCACAGGGACCAGAATGCCCAGGCCCAGAGCTGGGAAGTTCCCTGCCTTGGTTTCCTCCAGGTTTCTGCCTCAGGTTTCACTCAGTATTGTTTCCAAACAGTACTTTACATCAGGCCCAAGAATAATGAACTTCCTGTCCTGAGAGTGTGTGACATCTTATTGGCCTTCCTTTGAACTGCTCTATACCTGGAGACCATAAAATGGGAGCCAGTGACAGAGATAATTCAATGCCCTTCCCACTCTATTGTGGTATGTCTTAAAGCTTCTGAGTTCATGAATATTAATGCATATACAAAAGGAAAACGCAGATGAACAATTTATTCTATTACACAACAGCAAAGCAGCAGGGGAGAAAAGTGATACAGTTGCATCAATTCTAATTTTATCATTAAGGTCACTTAATTTTGAACAAATTCACTTTAGATACATTTGAAAGTATCTTTCCAGCTACAGTTAATCATTTACTGGGTAAAAACTGAAGTAAAACTGTTCCTACACTCATGATCTAAGTCTACTATGGAAATTTTGCCAGAAAGAGCTATTATGTAACTCCTACGAAGGGGACATTCAGTGTCTAACCTGACTCAAAAGTCAAGGGAGGCAGCCTAGGGTGTGCTGTGTACGTGTGCAAAAATTAGCAGGAAAATACCTAGAATAGCACTTCAAAGAAAATTCATGCCTCAGAAAGTTCCTTATACAAAATGCACAGGCTGGATGTAGTGGCTCAGGCCTGTAATCTCAGCACTTTGTGAGGCCGGGGTGGGTGGATCACTTGAGGCCAGGAGTTTGAGACTGGCCTACATGGAGAAACCCTGTCTCTACTAGAAATACGAAAATCAGCCGGGTGTGGTGGCATGTGCCTGTAGTCCCAAGCTACTTGGGAGGCTGAGGCGGGAGAATTGCTTGAACCCAGAAAGCGGAGGTTGCAGTGAGCTGAGATGGTGCCACTGCACTTCAGCCTGGGTGACAGAGGGAGACCCTGTCTCAAAAGAAATAAAATGCACAATCACCCCAAAGTTTTGGGGAAAAAAAAATTAAGAAGACTCTAGTTTACAGGACGCCTTTCTTTCTTGCCTTTCTAGTTTATGGGATGTTTTTCTTGATATAAACAATGTCCTATCAAGCCCTTCACACCGCACATCAGTTAAGAAAATAAGCAGTCTCTGTTACAAATGCTCAAATATTTGTCTACTGGGGCCAGGCATGGTGGATATACAAATGGTGACAATACAGTTTCTACCCTTAGGGGAAAGTTCCAGAGGCAGAACTTTTCCTAAAGGAGACAGTCCCTGAGCTGGAAACTGAAGGAGTGTGCCCCTGAAAAGCAGGACAGGAGAAAGGGCATGTCCTGCACCAGGAACATTTTGTATTCCTATTCTAAACAAGCCCAAGGCCTACAATCTGAATTTTGTATACAAACACAGAACTCATATTTTAGCAATTCAGAAACACAGTGTTTTATAGAAGTAAGGCTAACAAAATGAAAGCCTGAGAACACTACTCCAATACAAATTTATCTTCATGATACCCATTTCTACTCCTACCATTTTTTTCTTTCTTTTTTCTCACTCTGTCCCCAGGCCAGAGTGCAGTGGTGCCATCTTGGCTCACTGCAACCTCTGCCTCCTGAGTTCAAGCAATTCTCCTGCCTCAGCCTCCCCAGTAGCTGAGATTACAGGATGTGCCACCATGCCCAGCTAATTTTTGTATATTTATTAGAGACGAGGTTTGGCCATGTTGTCCAGGCTGGCCTCAAACCCCTGACCTCTGCTCATCCGCCCTCCTAGGCCTCCTATTTGTTAAGTGGGTGTTCCTTGGAATCACCTATGGGGCCAGGAAGGAAATAGAGGGAAGAGAAAGAAGGGTGGTAAGGAGGAAGGGAAGAAACCAGCACTGTCCCAGAGGAAGAGCTGGGTGTGTGCTAAGGTGCTGAGGGTGGGGAAAGACAGGACTTTCACACCAGAAAACAAAGCAGAGGCCCCAGGGGATTGTGTGGTCCTTAAAGTTAACCTTTCTCTAATTCCTTATCACCATCCCTCAAAGGAGATGTCAACTGCAGCTCCTCTTCAGTAGACTGAGCCACCCACAGCGAGATAGCTCTACAATCAACTAAAAATTAACTTCACATTTATTAGGTGCATGCATAACACTACTACAAGGCATGATGGAGCTATACAAGGCCAGGAAAGGTGGCTCACACCTGTAATCTCAACACTTTGGGAGGCCTAGGCACTTGAACCCAGGAGTTCAATACCAGCCAGGGCAAGATGGTGAGACCCTATCTCTACCTAAAATTTTTAAAAATCAGCCAGGCGTGGTGGCACACGCCCATAGTCCCAGCTACTTGGGAGGCTGAGGTGGGAGGATGGATTGAGCCCAGGAGGTTGAGTTCCACCATGATGGTGCCACTGCACTCCTGCCTGGGCTACAGAGTGAGACCCTGTCCTATTAAAATGTGTGCGTGTGTGTGTGTGTATGCCCATGTGTGTAGAAAGCTGTATGTATGTATGCATACATTCTGATAACTATTAACAAAATGCAAGACAGAGGTAACTACCACAACCGGTACAAAGGGCACTTTTTAATATGCCTTCACTATTCAACCAGGGACACCCATGGGCCAGAAAGAACAAAGGCACTGTTATCTCCACTGCTCTGGAGAAAAGAAAGCTGACAACAGGCAATCTGATGCCTTCCTTCAATGGGAAGGAAACACCCTGACATTGGAAGTGGTCTCCACACCGGGTTGTACATTGATGGGGGGAAGAGAGGAGGGAAGGCCAGCACCTCAACAGCAGTCACCAAAAAGGTGCTTTTAACTATCAGTAGCAAGTATTAACATGTTTATAGATTGCTGCTAACAGCTAGCCAAAGAAAGGTACACATAAATGCCCCTTTTTAAAATATAAAAATAGCAAGGATTGTAAACATGGGGGGAGGGTTGGGGAGAGCACACACCAGAAATCAATTTGGGCAGAATTTAGGCTGCTAAATGGACACATTAAGTAAACTCTCTTAGCTCCATCGCCCCCCACTCTGGAAACAACGCCTCGCGCAGGAATTAGGACACCCTGTACGTTCGCTTAATACCTGCGGCGGCCTCCGGCGACATTGTCGCCACAAGGACTGCGCCGGCACCCCCCCGTTGGGCTAGTCCGGTCTCTGTCACTAAACGCCTGTGACCTTGGGTAGACCGCTTAGCCTCAGTATTCTCATTCGTAAAATGAGGGTGAGAACACAGTCGTCGCAGAATCACAGCCGGAATTCGTTTGGTTCAACACGGTGCCTGACGTCTGTGTGAACCTGCGGGCAGGCGCGGCGACATTCAACAGTCAGGGAACCGCGGGCCCCGCGGCCTGTGCGGTCAGCCTCGAAACCTCCTGTAACGCCGGCTCCAGAGAAGCAGACCCAATTCCGCAGGGGGCCTCCACCTGCCGAGCCCTCCCCGAGCCCGCCAGCACCGTGGGGGCTAGAGGCCGGCGCGGTGACAGCGACCCGGCGCCCACCCCGAGGGTCCCCAGCGCGGGCACCGCGTCCCTGGCGTCTCCCGGTGCTCCAGGGGCAGCAGCGCGGCTCGGAGCCCTTTACCTGCCAACGATCACCACGCAGCCGGCCGCCGAGGACGCCATGACTGGGCCGGGGACGCGGCGCCGCGGGTGCTGGGACTAGGCGCAGGCGGAGCTCCGAGCCCTGGGCTCCGGGGAGGGCGGGTCCCGCGCCCATTGGCTGCGCGCGCGGGCGGGGAGGGCCGCTGGGACCCGGGGTGCGCGCCGCGGGCCCAAGACACCCCGAGACGCCCCGCGCCACCCCTTGGGGTCAGGGGCAGGACCAGCGAGGGGGCCCGTCGGGGGAAAGCTGGAAGACCACGCGCTTGTGAGTCGGGATGCACCGTGAAGTCCGTGTCTATTGGAGGGGACGCGGCCAGGCTCGCACGGAGCTCGAGCGCTAAAGCACCCTAGAGAACGGTCAGAGAATGTCCCCTTTGCTGCTTCGTCTCTGAAAGACGCCGGCCGTCAGGTGCGAACTGGGCTGAGGGACTCTGCGACAGCAGTGAAAGAGAACAACAGATGCGTTCATCTGCGCCACGGAAGGACACCTCTGACTCCTCCACTGTGTGCTCCGGACTTGGCTTGTGTATCAGAAAAAGGAAATGCCCTCGTGTCTTGACTCCTGGCCTTCTTGGAGCCCGGAACAGACCAAGAGGAGACAGTATTCAGGCGGGAACACACGTTGCCTGACACTCGTGTGCGTCCACACAGCACAAGTTGAAGGGGAAATGGCAGTAGAGACAGTACTCAGGCGGGAACCGCAGCCAACAGCGACGATAAACGGAGCTCTTCCTTTATTTGTTTCCCCTGAGTCAGGAACATGGAAAGAGAAATCCCCGGGGAGGAGTTAGGTTTTTAAAGAACAGTTTCACAAATTATCAGTAAATATTTGTCAAGTATTCAACCTCAAGAGAAATGGAAAGTAATACAAGGAAGATAAGTCATGTCTCACTCATCAGACTGGCTAAGTCACAAGGATTGATTATATTCCCATATCTGTAATGGAGCATTTCCGACATGAAACTCATACACAGTAGAAGGCAGGCTTAATCGTGAAGGACTTTTTGGAGGGGATGTTACAGTTTATTGTTGAGAGAGCCTGAGCACCCCTGTGTGCTCTGGCTGAGTACACAAGGCTCCAAAGCTTCCATCTCCTGATAGAACAGTTTTTGCAGTTAGCTACACAGGCAGCTAATGTAATAGGTCAAGTAACCCAGGAGTGAGCATTGTGTGACTGCTCACTACTGGAGGCTGTGGGGTCAGGAAACTGGCTTGTTTGCTGCTCCCTACAAGGTTTTCTCTTTGCTAAAATAGTAGGCTGGGCTCTGGGGCTCATGCTTGAAACCCCACCACTTTGGGAAGCTGAGTAGCAAATAATAACTTGAGGCCAGGAGTTCAAGACCAGCCTGGCCAACAAAGCGACCCCTGTCACTACGAAAAAATTAAAAATTATCCAGGCATGCTGGTGCTGCCTACGGTCCTAGCTACTCAGTCGGCTGAGGCAGGAGGATTGCTTGAAGCCAGGAGTTTGAGACCAGCCTGTGGAAGATAGTGCAACACCCCCATCTCTAAAATATACATGCATATGTATATTTATAACTTTAATCTTTCTGTTACCAAACCATATATATATATACATATATATATTTAAACTAGCCAGGTGTGGTAGTCCCAGCTACTCAGGAGGATCTCTTGAGCCCAGAGTTCAAGGCTGCAGTGAACTATGAGGGAATCTGTGGGGATCGCTCCAGTGTGAGGCCCCTGGGAAATGGGCCTCGCCATACGGTGAGCTTGAGCCCAGACACAGATCCCTGGTTGGAGGAGTCGAGCTGAGGGAAAGCAGGAACGGAGAGAGGGACTATGTTTTTCTAAATAATTAACAGACATTACTTTATGGATATGAGGACTTGGAAGGCAATGTGTCCACTTTCGGCTTCTTATGGTTTATTGCTTGATTGTGTTCATTTTGGACCCTTGTTACCTTCATTGTAAAATATTAACTTAAGTATTTACACTTGGTAACTTACTTACCGTAACTTACTGGGTGTAACTGTAACTTACTTACCATAGCTTACAGGGTGTAACTAACTTACTTCCCATAGCTTACTGGGCGTGACTGTAACTTACTTACATTGATCTATGGGGCGTAACCTAATTACTGAAAGTAACCTACTTACTGGGCGTAACCTACTTAATGGGATTAACTTAGTTACTGGGCTTAACTTAGTGGGCGTAACTTGCTTACTTTAACTTAAGTACATTGATCTGTTGTAAACAACTTTGGCTTCAGAAAAGTATATAATGAAACGTATTGCAAAAATAAAATTGCTGGTTGTTCATAGCCTAAGCCAGCCCTCCAGACTCCGCTTTTCTATTTTCTTTCACTTCCGCGCACTCTCTCCCTCAGGTTGAACGAGACCTCTACATTGGCGGTCTTGGGGACTCCTGCAGGTCGGTAGTCCCCTGGCAGACGTTCCGGCCCCCGACAGAACTATGATTGTGCCACTCTACTGCAGCCTGGGTAACAGAACAACGCTTTTTCTCAAAAGAAAGCAAAACGTGCTGGGCCCTTGCCCATTGCAAACACAGGAGTCATCTGGCTCTCTATTTAACCCTGTGGGAATTAGGAATCCAAGAACCCATGTAAATATGGTGACACTCTGGCTGTTGCTTTTACTATAATAAGATCTTTTACATCCAGGAGTCTCCTGACTTCTGTCAGCATTGAAGTGCAGAAATACGGCAAGCTAACTCATTAGCTTACAATTCAGTGAAAATCTCAGACCCTCGCAGTTTTTGACACATACAAAATTTAGAAAGTATGTACCCTTTGGCTAAGCAGTTCCAATTCTGCTGTACAGATCTGTTGTATAGAAATTCAAGTGGACATGAAGTTAGACAACTTTCTTTGAACATGGCTATTAATAGAAAATTATTAAAAACACGATGAATATCAATGAAAAATGTTTTTAAAGACTATGGAATTCTTAGAAAATGTCTGCTTCTGGCCAAGAGGAAAAATAAGGATGAAACTTAAACTCCTTCTCAAAACTACTAGAAGACCCTCAAAACAGAGGTAACAGGGATCTCAGACCCTGAACAAGAGGCAGCCTAGGACAGCTATCCCTGAGAGAGGGAAACAGACAAGGCATGGGCTGCAGCTCCGAAAGGGAAAGCTCGAAGCCTGGTTTTCTCACTGAGTTGAGGAAAAGAAAGACTGAAGTTCAGAAAGGCCAAATGATGAGAATTTGCAGGGCATGGTAGCAGAGAAGACACAGGCACTCAGAGGAAAGAGGGTGCTCCAGAGCCCTAGAGAAGAAAGAGGCCCTTTTCACATGTTTGGCTGAGTGCTGAGCTGGAGACCATCATATACTGACATCAGTTGCTCTCCAAGTCTATTGGAACGTTCTGTGGTTTGAGCTTTAGCAGGTGTTAAGTGCAATCCTCTCATAATCTTTCAACTCCATTTTAGAAAGTGTTAGTCTAAAGCCTTAATTACTTCATTTTCTTTCACACTCAGCAACCAGAAACAAACAAAAGTAGGCAAAGGACTTGAATAGACATTTTTCCAGGGAAAATATACAAATGGCCAATAAGCACATGAAAACATGTCGACCGTCACTAGTCATTAGGGCCATGTAAACGAAAACCACAATGAGATACCATCTCACACACATTAAGGTGGCCACTGTCAAAACAAACAAATGAAAAACAGAAAATAACAAGTGTTGGTGAGAACGTGGAGAAATGAGAGACCCCTTATGCCATTGTTGGGAATGAAAAATGGTGCATAGCAGATATAATGGAAAACAGTAGGGCATTCCTCAAAAAATGAAAAATAGACTTATTAGATGATCCAGCAATTCCACTTCTGGGTATGTACCCAGAAGAATTGAAAGTTTGTCTTAAACAGTTATTTGCAAACCCATGTTCATAGCAGCATTAATCACAATAGCCAAAAGGTGGAAGCAACCCAAGTGTCCCTCAACAAATGAAAGGTAATAATATCTTGGCTCTGTATCCCCAACCAAAACTCATCTCAAATTATAATTTCCATGTGTCAAGGCCGGACTTGGCGGGTGGTGATTGGATCATGGGGTGGTTTCCCCATGCTGTTCTTGTGATAGTGAGTTTTCACAAGATCTGATGGTTTTATATGCATCTGGCATTTTCCCTGCTTGCCCTTCTCTCTTCTGACACCATGTGAAGAAGGTCCTTGCTACCACTTCACCTTCCACCATGATTGCAAGTTTCCTGAGATCTCCCCAGCCCTGTGGAACTGTGAGTCAATTAAATCTCTTTTCTTTATAAATTACCCACTCTTGGCAGTTCTTTATAGCAGTATGAGAATGGATTAATACAAATGGATAAACAAAAATGTGGACTACACCTTCAATGGAATATTATTCAGCCTGAAGAAGGAAGGAAATTCTGATGATGCTACAACATGAATGAATCTCGAAGACCTGCTAAGTAAAATAATTGAGACACAAAAGAAAAAAAATTGTTTAATTTTACTTATATGAAGTACCTAGAGTAGTCAAATTCATAGAGACAGAAAGTGGAATGGGGTTGCCAGGGCTGTGGGAAGGAAGAAACAGGAAGTTTGGAAATAGAATTTCAGTGGTACAAGATGAAAGCATTCTGGATGTTGGTTCACAACAATGGGAATGTACTTAACACTACCGAACTGTACACATAAAACATGGTTAAGGCTGGGCACGGTGGTACATGCCTGTAATCCCAGCACTTTGGGAGGCCAAGGCGAATGGATCACTTGAGGTCAGAAGTTCGAGGCCAGCCTGGCCAACATGGAGAAACCCTGTCTCTACTAAAAATACAAAAATTAGCTGGGCATGGTAGTGTTCACCTGCAATCCCAGCTACTCGGGAGGCTGAGGCACAAGAATTGTTTGAACCCAGAAGGCAGAGTCCGCAGTGAGCCAAAATTGTGCCACTGCACTCCAGCCTGGGTGATAGAGGAAGACTCTGTCAAAAAAAAAAAAAAAAGTTAAGATATTAAATTTTATGTTATGTATATCTTACCAAAAATTTTTTAATAACCAAAAGACTTGAACCACACATTTCACCAAAAAGATACATGGTTAACAAATAAGTGTGAAAAGATACTTAATATCATTAGTCATTAGATATTAGTTATTAGATATTAGTCATTAGAGAAATGTTAATCAGAACCATAATGAGATACTACGACATACCTAACAGAATGGCTAAAGTTTAACAAACGAAACTGAGAATTCCAAGTGCCAGTGGAGATGTGAAGCAACTGGAACTCTCCCACATTGCTGGTGGAAATGCAGAATGGTACAGGGTAGTACAGGAACTACCCAAACAGTAGTTCACACAAAAACCTGTATGTATGCATCTGCATTGTTTATAGTCCAAAGAGTGGACACACCCAACTCCCCTTCTGTTGGCAGGTGGAAAAACAATATATAGTACATCCGCACAATGGACAATAAAAGGAACAAAGTCAGCAGTAACGTGGATGAATCTAGAGGAGATAGGTCAAATGAAAGAAGCCAGACTCAGCCCGGTAAAGTGGCTCACTCCTGTAATCCTAGCATTTTGGGAGGCCGAAGCAGGCAGATGCCTGAGCTCAGGAGTTTGAGACCAGCCTGGCCAACATAATGAAAGCCCTGTCTCTACTAAAAATACAAAAATCAGCTGGTGTGGTGGCAGGCACCTGTAATCCCAGCTACCCAAGAGGCTGAGGCTCAAGAATTGCTTGAACCCAGAAGGCGGAGGTTCCAGTGAGCCGAGATCATGCCACTGCACTCCAGCCTGCGAGACCCTGACACACACACACACACACACACACACACACCAGATGCAAAAGGCTATATACTGTGTGACTCCATTTATATGAAATTCTAGAAATGATAAAATTATTGGGATAGGGAATAGATCGGTGAGTACCAGGAGTTGTAGGTTTGGCAAACGATTAAATACAAAGGAGCAGAGAGAGGGGACTGAGAGGGGAGCAGAACTGTTCTGTGTCTTGCTGGTAATGCATAGTTACACCATGCATTTGACAGAACTCTTAGAATTACTTGAATATTTTAAAATAAATACATAAAATATTTAAATTGTGGGATGGAGCTGTACAGTTCTTACTATACCATTAAATGCCAATATTAGAAAAGAGAAAGCTCTCAAATCCATGATCAAATTTCCACCTTTAAAAATTAGAAAAAGGAAAGCAAATTAATCTCAAAGTTATTAAAGAGGAGAGTACAGAAATCTATGAAATAGAAAACCAAATAACAATAGAGAAAATTGTTAATAGAGAAAATGAATAAAACCAAAGACTGTTTTTTTGTAAAGATTGATAAAATCAGTAAAACCTTAGCCAGACTGGTCAGAGGAGAGAATATATGAATTGCCAATACCATTACTGATCATACAAAAAACAAAAGAACAGAAATTTATGAACAACTTTATGTCAATAAATAAATGAATTTATGAAATGGAGAAATTCCTGAAAGCCTTGAAAAAAAAAAACCAAATAACTAAGCCTCTCTCTGGAAGAAATAGATAAGTCTTCTGTCTGTGAAAAGCACCGAATTTGTAATTTTTTTTTTTTTTTTTTTTTTTTGAGACAAAGTCTTGTTCCGTCACCAGGCACCAGGCTGGAGTGCAGTGGTGTAGTCTCAGCTCACTGCAACCTCTGCCTCCCGGGTTCAAGCAATTCTCCTGCCTCAGCCTCCCGAGTAGCTGGGAATACAGGCGCACGCCACCACGCCCAACTAATTTTTTTTATTTTTAGTAGAGACGGGGTTTCACCATGTCGGCCAGGATGGTCTCGATCTCTTGACCTAGTGATCCGCCCACCTTGGCCTCCCTAAGTGCTGGATTGAATTTGTAATTTTAAAAAACTGTCCCCAAAGAAAACTGCAGGCTCAGATGTCATCAAAGGTAAGTTCTCCCAAGCATTTGAAGAATAAATATCCCAACTGAATGGAAACTCTTCTAGAAAGTACAAGAGCAGGAAATGTTTTCAACTTATTTTATGAGACCAGTATTATCCCAATATCAAACCTGACAAAACAGCAAAGGAAAACTACAGATCAATATCCCTCATGAACATGATGCAAACATTTTTTTAAATATTAGCAAATTGAATCTAGCAATATATGAAAAAGAATAAAACATTATAACTAAAGGGGGTTTTTCATAGAAACGTAAGGTTATTTCAACACTCAAAATATAATTCATGATATAAGTAAACTAAAAGAGAAATTTTTTTGTTTTTGAGATAGTCTTGCTCTCAAAAACAAGAGCAAGCATGGAGTGCAGTGGTTGATGTTGGCTCTCTGCAACCTCTGCCTCCCA